AATTAATTAAAAAAGTCAAATTATGTGGCAATAATAGACAACCTTATGACCATATATAGCCACATTCATAAGAGAAACGTGTTTTTTAATATAAATGATCTCTTTTTATAGTTTGAATAGGGATATTAAAAATATCAAAATATTATATATTTTAGTAATTTTAATATTTAAATTATAAAAAAAATACAATATGTGTTAAAAAAACACATTTTTGTTGGAATAACATATTTTTTGTATTTATATTGCTGTATTGTGACTGTAAAAACTTCAATTTTATGATACTAACCCCATAAAAACTCTATTAATCATTGAGTTGATATTTTGTGGCTTTTGCACGAATTGCAAAATATTTTTTAAATTTATAATAAAATTATTTTTCTTGGAGATATGAAAATGCAGTTGAAGAAGTTGTGTTTCCTTGTCCGGTTTCAGTTAGATCATATTTTTGTGAGTGTTGTTTTTCTACACGTCCACTCTCCTTTTTATTTTTTTATATTATGGAAATAATTTTTTTATTTTATTTTTTATATAATTTTTATATATAATTAAATAAATAAATATATTTAATATTACAAAATTTACATAAATTTAAAAAATTAATTATTTAAATAATATGTCAAATTATATTAAAAGTTAATATAAAAAAAATATTCTAAACCTTTTTTTTTTCCTTAATCCTATTCTCGAACCTTTTTGACTTGCTGTGCAAGTTTGAAACTCGTCCTCACGAGTTTTAAGTGATGAAAATGCTCTTCTCCACGTGCCCCACACCACGTCGGCACATCCTTATCTTTGACCGACTACTTTTCTAACTTTCTTTGTATTTTAATTTTCATTTTTTTTATATTCTTTCATTTTTAAGGCAAAAGTAGAGAATAAAGACCCAAATTCATTTAGTTGAGTGAGAGAGCAATGGACATTAATGGTGTTGTGAGATATTTGATGTTAGTTAAGTTTTGATTTAATTAAGATTTTAATTAAATACAATTTAAGTTTGGATTTGAAATTATAAATTTTGTATAAGTTTGGGTCTTTATTCCATATTTTTGCCAATTTTTAATATATAAACAAAGTAAAACTTAACTGAAAAATTTAGCCCAAAATATTGAACCCACCTTAGTCATTAACCCATGTTACAGATGCATTGAAGTGAATGACATAACGTCTTTGATTCAATAATAGAGATTTGGATTTCAAAATCTTGATAAAGAGGATTGATCTTTATTTATATATAATTTAAGGGAACAATATCTATTCGTCTTATTTTTTAAAAATTAATAAGAAAATCATTTCAAAATTATATTGTTTTAATAAAAAAATTATTAAAAAATAAAAAATATTTTAATTCATGATTTAAAAATAATATATTTTAAATTGAAGTTTTTATTTTTTTAAAATCAAGATTAATATTTTTTTTAATAATATAATATATTATTAAAGTTAATATATTATATAATATAATAATTACAATATTTTTAATATAATAATAATAATAATAATTTTATAAATGCATATGCGTTGAAAGAGGACGGGTGGGTTGGGTTTCTTAGCCAAGTGGGTTGTTTGTTTATATCTTTTTCTTTCACAGATCGTGGGGACCCACCTTATTTTCATCGTTTCTTTAACCGCTTTGAGTGGACGGTGATTAGAGTGCCCGGTTAAAACGGGTGTGGGGTCCACATAGAAAAAGCCTAAAATGTCAAGAGGGGTGCACTGCAATTTTGGATTGTTTGTAGGGTGGGGGGGATTTTTTTTTTTAAATTTTTTATGGCTATATAGTTATATACGTCACGCCATAAAAAAATTTACGGTCCCGAAAATTCTATGAAAAGGGATGGTCATATCATTGACGTTTACTCAATTTATACTCTCGAATTAGTTGAAATTTTTCATTGGGTGGTTGTAGCGACAAGGGAGGGTTGTGGTTATGACCCAGCGGCCATCTGCTTGGCTACATGGTTTTTGAATTTTTATTTTTATTTAGTTGGTTAAAACCTTTATTTCTATCTTATATATATATATATATATTCATAATCAACACTCTTAATTATTTTCACCCGCAGTTTCAACTGTTTTGATTGGGTGTATTTAAACTTATGATTTCGACTAAAATATAAAACTGCAGTGTGCAGCTCCCTATTCCTCCTTTCATATTTCTCCCTGTTAAAAAAAAAAAACACTCTTAATTATCTAAAACCCATGAAAAATTTAATAATTAATGATTAAATCCTTTATTTACATTTTATTTTTGTCATCAAATCTCTTATTTATACCATCATTTTGTTAGGAGTCTGAAGTTTTTTATGAAGTTTAGAATGAAATTTAGTTTAGGGTAATAACTACGAAAAGAAAGAATGTATAGAATGTAAATAGAGGATTCAACCTTATTTAATTATTAAAATAATTATAATTATTAACATATTTAATAATTATTATTTAATAAGTTAAAATTCATATAAAAATAAAA